GTTTTCTTATCACTTGTGTATGTCGCTGCCACTTCGAAAAAAGTGTCGACTGTATTGCACATCTCATCATCTGACATACTCTCAAACTCAACGACATTGATGTTGTTATCTTCAAAGTACGTTTTGTCAAAGGCTTTCATGTCACTTGCTATTTGTAGTCGATAGACCCGCCCATTATTTTCACTCTCCCCCACTAAAACTACTCCAATTTTACCTTTAATATGATTGTAGTTTAATGGATACTCTTGTAAAGTCACTGCACACTCCCCCATTCCTTTTGTATTTGGTTCGTTGTTGACTTGTAAGTTTGTTTTGTTTTTGAGTCGTTTGTAAAGCTTCTCGGCTACATCAATTAAGACGATTTTATTGACAAAGACGTCGTACTTGTCGAATAATATGACTTGAGTAAGGCTCTTCTGTATCACATCTTCTATCATTTTAATGTTCTCTTGGCAAGTCATCCCAAATGTATGTGAATGTGCTGACCGTGAAAGTACCCGAAGAAGATAAACACTCTCTTCTTCATTCTCAATGATACAGTCACTCCGGTGCTCTAATATAAGACGGATAGGGACTTGATATAACATTTCAAAGCTCGCACGTACTTCTGGAGTATCTTGTGAATAACTCCGCCATACTATTCTATAGTTCGTAACATATAGCACACCATTCTCCCATTCGACATTCACTATTGTCGATATCTTTTGATGGTATGGAATCAGGTAGAGAGGTACAAGGACATCACTGATTATTAACTCGACCAACTCTCCCGGATATAATTCACTTGACTCGTAACAGAAATATGGATTTGTTTCCTCTTTCACATGCTTTTTAATCACTTTAATGGGTTCTACAGAGAGACCAGGAGCCATACACGATATCATAAAGTCCTCTAACTCCGCTTTATAGTAATTAAATAACGAATTCTCTGATGCAGTCATTCTCTCTATAAATAGAAAGACTCTTTTTAATATATTCAGGTTCTCTGTGCTCAGTGTTAATACATCAAAAGGAGTCTCGAAAAGACCTTCTCTCAAGTTTTCAACGTCTTCTGCGACAAGGATAGGGTCCCGTCGCGCGAAGAATATTTCGATGGATAAGAATGTGATTCTAATGGCATGTGCCTTGTCTACACTTGATAAATTCACTGGCTCTCTTCGAGTAAAGTTTGCTTCTAAATCGTACATGTCTCGTAATTCCTCGTCCGTGAAACTATTCTTTTGGAGCACAGTCACTTCATGTTATTATTTATTCACGTTAATAAATACTTTTAATATAAGATTACTACTCTATTAGAAGTAACACAATAAATAATAGAAAGAAACAAACTAGGGAATGTCGATGCAGTTATATATTGTTTAACCGTTTTAATGATTCGCTCGACATCTTCAATGTCTCCACAATACTTTGTTACACTCTTTTTATACCACTCCAAAAACACTTTACCGGTAATCCCTTTGTTCGCTACACGACGACTAAAACTCTCATTTGCAAACGTTTCCAACCAGGCAACCAACTCGTTGTTATCAAATAAATGGATGGGTTTGATTGGTCGATCGAATAAAGAGACAATAGTTTCGTTGTATGAAAGGGAATACTCCAATAATGTGGGGATTTTTTGTAGCGAATTTGCAATGTTTGATTGGCATTGTTGTTGCTGTTGTGAATTCAGTGAGTTAAATATAGAAATAGACGATTGCGATGATTGCGTAGTTTGCGAGAAGGAGGTGAGGACTGGGCTTTCAGGGGAGTCCGAGAACTTGAAGTCGTCGAGTCTGCCGATGAACGAAATCTTCGTTTGCGGCGACTTACATAGTTTGGTTGTCGTGATGACACTCATAACCAGTACACTTGGAAGTTCGATTTTTTTTCTTTGATTTTCATTTTTTCATGGAGTAATACTCGAGTATTTCAGTTAAAAGACTTCAAAGGAATTTTTGCCATTATTTATTTGCAGTATTAATTCTTTACTATTTGCACCATCTATTGGTGTTCATTTAAAATATACAATTCGTTGAAAAAATTTTGCGGCATTCATAAATACCTGCAACATCAGAAATATAGCATTTTTCACAAGAAAAATTGTATTAGTATGATATTAGTTTGTTACTAGAATTGTATTGTAAATTATCAACGTCTTTTAGGAACTAGAAGTTTAACAAATCACGACTTCCGTTCATTTTATTATTATTTTCCCATGAAAAAAGTTCTATAAATAAACACTCACTCGTTTTCAAATAAGCGTGGCTTTTCTTTTTTTTTTATTGGTATGTTCGTGTGGTATAATATTGTTTATTATAAAAATACTATATAATTATTATAAATGAGTTCATTTTTGAAAAGCAATTTTGCCGTATTTGATTGGCAAATAGATCTGAAATAAACGTTTTTATTTTTTTTGTTTGGTTTTGCCAATAAGTGACTTTTTTAGGAAGATATAAGTGTTAATTAATATGAAGTAATAACAAAAGTTTATAAATAGTTTTACAAAAAAATGTGGTGTCTAAATAATAAGGGTTGCCATATGAAATAAAACGACTATTTTTAGAAAACAATAGTAATAGCAAAAATCCCGCATATATACGAGTTTTGTGATCACATTTGCGAAGTTACTTTCTTTTGGTTTGAGACAATAAACAAATTCTGGTAAAAAGCCATAGTTCTGCGGTTTGTTATTCGTTTGTATCTTATCTTTTTGCCAAAAAAAATCAAATATGCCATCGAGAAGTTAACCTTTAATGCTTTTTTCTAGGCATATATATAGTAGTGTATTTATAATATAATTGTGGTTTGATGTTGTTTAGAAACAAATACCAATTATATATAAACACTACTATATAGTTATTATTAATGATATAAGTATAGTTATAAGAGATATTGAATAAAAAAGAAGGTCAAATTAACCAATGTTTTTCTGTGGTTTCTAAAAATACTGTTTTAATAACCGCCGTTGAGTGTAAAAAGGGTTTAATGTTTTTACATAATTAAAGCAAATATCGACAAGCTAACACTTTTGTTAATAAAAAAAATGAAACAATAAAAAGCCCAAAACTACATAAACAATGATATTTCAATATAAATAACCATTAAAATCGTAACATTCGGGGATATTAGGTATTAGTTCCTTCAAACAATTTTTTGTTTTTGCTTGTTTTATTCAAAAATAAATTATTCACAAAGCATCCCAACAGATTGGGCGAAATTTAATTAATTGTTTGCCAAATAAAATAGTATTAAAAATTATTTCTACGATGCTGCGAGTTATAAGCAGTAGCCGGGAATAAATATCCTAAATCATAACGCTGATTATCCCGTTTTTTAATAAAAATGTTGGCAAAATAATAACATTAATATTTTTTAAAAACTAATTTATGTAAATTAGTTAAAAATAGTATTTACCGAATATATCGAAATCACCGTTAAAATATTTTAGTACTAAAAAAAGCTTTTTACAAATAATCAAAAACATAAGTTGGTTTGTTACCAAAATAAAAAAATTGAAATTATAATAATATTAGTATTATAATTAACTACAATTAAATCATAAATAAATAATAAAATAATCAATGATTATTAACTTTTTGAGTCTTTAATAATAAATGTATTTTACATACTTTATTGAGCATTTATTAAACAAAAATGGCTTTGATTACGAAAAATACAACGATTTTGAATTAAAAGCGACTCTCTTTGTAAAAAATCAATTGATAGCAAATAAATCATCAGATATAATAAACAAGACATGTGAAACAGATGTCTTGTTTATTATATTATTTTTCATATTATTTATTATATTTATTATTACAAATTATTCAGCTAAATAATTTGTAGATTTGAACTTATTTATATAGATAGAATTAATTCTTTATCAACTTTTTATGAAATGTTTCAATAAAGCACAATCAGACTTTAATTTTTTAATTACAATATTTACAAGATATAAATAAGTAATTTGGAACATAAAACTTGAACATAAAAAATGATTGAAACCAACCAGTTTTTGAAATTAAAAATGACATTAAACTTATAAACGATATGCTTGTTATATTTTTTATTCTAACGGCTCAAGCCACAAAACCAGTTTGTCGTTATTTTTTCGCATAACAACACTATAACATGTAGATACAAATGCGGATCGAACAAGTTGAGAACATTGGGGGAAATAGATCATTACTTTCGTCATATTCATCGATAGAGTATGACTGTTACAATGATGTGTTTTCAGACACTTACAAACGTGTGTTTTTTCCAATGGCATTTTATTTACTATCTATTTATATCATTTTCTATGTAAAAAACATAAATAACGATTAGGATTCATTGACTGTTATGTCTACAAAGACGTTTTCTATGACCAAATTGGCGAAACAAAATTTCCGACGTGTGGCATTCAGTTATTATTAAAAGGCACAAACAGCAATGAAGCGGTCTGTATTGTACGTGGATACTTCACCACTGAATTTATTAATGGAATAACTCAGTATGATGCAGAGAGGACAATATTAGTTACTGAAGATGTCTATAATCAATTGTCATGGGGATTAATGAAGAATGGGTTTAACCCTGTTTGTGCCTTCTTTAAACACACTTCAAACATCATGTCAACGTCACTTGCTGTTGTGAGAAACGACAGTAATTGTTTCACTTTGCGTGCAGTGGATCCATTTAACAGGGTTCACACTTTACTGAGCTCAAAAGGGCAACTTCAAATCGACTTGAATGGGACGTTCACGTATTGTACAGAGAATCCAGTGGAGTCGTTGTCCGTATTATTAGTGAACAAAGATTTAATTTTATTCCCCTTCTTCAACTTTACAAGAACAAAAGAATTGCAATACCCTATCACAAATTACCAATGGAACGACACGAACAAACAACCTAATTTGTGGGCACCACGAGATATTGTGTATGGTGATATCAACGAATCATTGGCTCAGAAATACAGCGACTACTACGACGACAAATTTACGTGGACGTATGACGTGTACTCGTACAAAGGAGATGATGTAGGGAAGTTGCCACTTGAAGACACCCACGACATGTATATCATCTTCAAGTTGAATGTCATCTTTTATGTCCAGATGGTTTTTAACTCGTCAACTACTTACTTCGTCGTGAAAAATGGAAGTCAGACAATTTCAAGTGGGCTACTCACAGCAACGGACTCGTCACCGACGGAGCAGAACTGTCACACGCAAACATTGAAAATGGTGGTCTACCCATTTTCAAAGGATATGTGTACTATCAATAGAACATTGTGTCGACAGTGTGGTGGAAGTGTCGACTGTGTTATAATCAAACAAGAACAGTCGTTTATTGACCAACGTTGTGGATATGGCAACAATGGATATTACTTGGTATTTAAAGGAAATAGTTATGTGATAGATATCATCAACTCGACACTGACTACTCGAACTCCAAATTATATCGACAGCTTCTGCCCATTCCAGAAAAATAGGTGCTTTGGTTATGAGTGTGACCCTACTGATTATTTAAAGAAATACGGCGGGGAGAATACACAGTATATTGGGTGCTTCTTAGACTGTGGAGTTTGTGATGTTGGATACAGTTGTAATGGGGTAGGAAAGTGTATTAAAAATAGAGTGCCTTCAAGCGCTTTGGACATTCAGATGCTTACTATCTTTGTGTTTGTTATATTGTTATCGTGGTGAGTTCATATTATATATTGATTTGTACTTGCTTTGTGTTTTCTTGTTACCTCCACACGATCTTTTTTAACCAATTGGGTTGAGTAATGAAAGTGTCTTTGAAATAGTCCATTGAAATAACAAATTCTATATTTATAATTAAATGTTCTATTTAAATACGATTTGTCTTTACTCTTACCCAGTTGAAGCATCACTTTGTCTTTTTATGATCAAATAAAAAGAGAGGAATGAAAACAGAACTTAAAAAACATGAGCGACTCACAAAAGGAATCCCCTATAACAAAAGAGGAGTTTGAGACATTCAGGAAAATCTGTGTGGAAAGCAATAACTGGAAAGAGTACACCCGAGAAAACAACACTGTGTGTTATCAAGGTGTTGAGGTTAAAAGTGGGTATTTCTGTATGAAGGCCGTGACAGACTTGTTTGTGAATTACCCTACAACACAAATATTTGACTTTTTGAATGACGAGGAATTCAGAGACCAGTGGGACTCCCTCCTGCTTAAAAGAGAAAAACTAAGGCAAATTGATGACTCAAACCAAATCATTCACTACTTCACAACACTCCCAATGGTGGCTAATAGAGACTACGTCTACTACAAAAGCTTGTGGATGTCCGACGATAAAGACGAATTTATCATCATGAACAAATCAATAGAGTTGCCCGACTGCCCAGCCACCTCGGACTATGTCAGAGCACAATGTGAGATGAGCGGTTATATGGTCAAAAAAAATGATAAGGGTGAGGGCATCTTTTACTATTACACTTACAATGCATTTGGAGGGTGGGTTCCTTCTTGGGTAATGAACTCACTCATATCGTCACAAGGACTTTCGCTCATGAAGAAGTTGGTTGCTGCGTGCGAGAAGTACCCAGAGTGGAAGAAAACTCACAACCCAGAAAGTAAACCATGGAACACACTGAAAGACAAGATTAAACTGTCTCAATAAATAAAGCCAATGTGGTGTTTGGTTCTTAACTTGTGAACAAGTGAATTACAAAATCCGCACACGTCCGTTCTTCTTTTCTTTCTTTTTCAACTTGAACTCCACTTTCATACTGTCACGTTCGCGTATCTTGTTATAGAGCGCATTGTTGATGCGCTCCTTCTCAGCAAAGTACGTTGGGTCAATTTCTTTGTCAAGCACTTTCTTTTTGCGTTTCAGATGCTCCACCTCACTTTTCAGAACAAGATAATTTCTCTTTGCATCCTTTATGTCATTTTATTTTTGTCACTTTGCCTCTTTTTCGTCTTGACATCGATAGCAATGGAAAAGAAAAACAAACGATGTAATACAATTCAGTAATGACTCTCTTGTCGTTCTGACTCAAGTCTTTTGGAGTAACCAGAGCAGTCATGCTGAACGGCCTGTTTCTTGACAAAGGTTGGAGTGGATTTGGTTGAACGACAGCTCGCATCTGGGGCTCACTCTTTGACTTCACTAAAGGATTGCTCCCGTCGGACTTCTCGCTGCTTTTTTTCTCAGCCTTCTTGGTTTTCATAATTTCTGCTTTTTGTTGTGCCTTTTCCATTCTGAATTATCTTCGTTTTCCTTCCTCAAATTTTGTTTCGTTCCATCTTATTTCTAAAAGCAACACTTTGACAACATAAGATTTTCTTTTTTTTAAATTTTTTATAATAGTAATATTATTATTAATATATATTAAAATATAATAGTTTACAATACAAATATAATTTATTATTAATTAATTATATTAATTCTGTTAATACAAATAAAATTAATTGATTATAATTAAATAAATAATAAAAAACACAATTAAAAATTAACATTCTTCCATGGGCGAACCATTGGCAGGAAGTTGTGGCTGAACAGCTTGGACGTCTTGTTGTCTCTTTGTTGTGGTCAGTTTCTTTACATTAATACTTCCTTTCTTTCTCCCTTTTTTCATCTCCGTTCTTGATTTTGCGGCGATTATAATGAGGTTGTTTTGGGTGACCTCCATCTGACAATTTTTGCATTCTTTAACCCAAAGTTGGTACCTTTTTCTCAGTTGGCAATCCGTTCTTCCCACCATCTCCTTCTCAATTTTGGACCATTTTGGTACGCTTCGACGCGCGTCCAAAAATTCGGGGTCAAACAGAAACTTGATGAACGTCTCGTCTTCTTCTTTTGTCCACGGAACTCTCGTTTTAAATCCAACCCGCGAAGAGTTGCACAAAAAGTCTCTGACCTGGGTATCGACGCGGTCAGGGAAGAAGTTCGTGATCCTGCTCCACTGTTGGGGAAAGAGCCTGTTACATACAACGGCGCGGATTTTCTCGTCTTTGCTCCACCTTCCCTTCTTGACACTTTTAAGCGACTTCTCATACCTATGGAGACATTGTTGTGGGTCTCTACCTCCAACTTCCATACTAACAGACACCCAGTCTCCCCGCCCATATTTCTCGACAGCTTCCAGTATCTTTTTGTCTTCTTCTTTACTGAATTCGTCATGTCTTATTCTTGCCATCCTTTTCTTCTGTAATGTCTGTATAAACGGTCCGAACGATATCCCCGCTTTCTCACAGAATTCTTTTGCGTCGCCACCTATTTTTGCCAAGTTGTCTATTTCAACTATTTCAAAACTTTCTCTCTTTTCATCGTTTAAATGTTCTTTCGTTCCTTCCGTCTCACTCACTCTGTCAATCTCGAGATTTTTCGTTCTGTCGATTCGCGCAATAAAGTCATCGATTCCCTCTTTTAATCCATTCAACTTCTCAAGATCTCTTCGCTGCGAATCAAAGAACTGGAACTGGTATTTACAGTCAGTCGGGTTGTGGCGGACCTCCCTTGCTGCGATCCGCCAGTACCCATCGCCGAACTGCGTCACCTGCCTTTTCTCGTTATATAACATTTCTTTGAACAGCACCAACGCGTCTTTGAAGTGTTGTAACACGCCGATGTACTCGTCGATGCTCAACAAATACTTGAACTTATTGAGCGTAGTCATGTTAAGGACCCACTCTTCACGTGTCTTGTCTTCAAACGCCTTTATTGTCTCTGTGTCAAAGTTTTCGTCAAAGTTATACAAAGCACGATATCGTGCAATAATTTCTTTCATCATTGGAGATGTTTCTATTGTTACTGATTCGGGAAGTACTTCATTCAAAGTAGTTTGTTGGACTTCGGCATCATCACTCTCAGTATGCTGGTCGTCGAGATTCACAACTTTCTCGACTTTTGATGACATTGGAATTTTGAAAACGAGAGGGGGGTGGTCGGTTGGTGGGGGAGGTGGTTGTGTGATGATGTCAGTTTTTTTATAATTGCGAGGGACGTTGGAAAAGACTTGATCAAAAAGATTGTCTGTTTGAAGGACTTTTTGGGCTTCCAGGGCGTCTTCTTGGATTTGTTTGTTTGCAACAACGAGGAGTCTCTGTTTCTCGGTCTCGATTTTCTGTAAAAGAAGTGTCTGTTGAGTGAATCCGAGGTCTTGGGCGATTTGAAGAAGACACTTATTTAAAGCAAGAGTGCCCATTGTCTTCGAGACTTCCTGTAAGTTCTGTTTGTCGGCGTCGTTCCACGAAATCTTTCTTAGACGTGTATCTGTGTTTTCTTTGGAAAAGAAAGTTGGACGATTTCCATCGGTGTCAGTGAAAAAACTCTCTCTCAACGTTCGAAGGGGTTTTGGATTTTTTTGCGTTTGCTGGAGAGAATTTATTTCATCTTGACACTTTGACAAAGTCTCTTTGATGGTGTTTGAAGTGTCAGCAAGTGTGTTGATGTAATTCTGAACGACATTGGAGAACGTTATGAATTCGGAATCGATTTCCATTGAATGTGTTTTTAGGTTTGGTTTGAAATATAGTATTATGGGGCGATTTTTTAGAACTAAAGGTTTTGATATGGTATAATTTACTAGAAAAATAGAATTTGTTATTAAACCCTCCAATTATTGTATTTGAAAGTATAGGGCTTAATGTACTACAAATATGGGAAATAAAGGCGATTCAAATGCCATATCTCTTTTGTTTTTGTTTTTTTTGTTTCCCAAAAATGTGAATTATAAATATCTAACTCAAAATTAGCAATAATAATCTATAAAAATAGTACAGTAAAACGAAAAAGTAAACAAAAAAAAATAGTTCAACGATTGATAGTAAAAATATAGTTTAAAACTAATACAGTTAATTAGGAGAACGAACAACAAAAAGGCTATGAGCAAAGAAACTCGAAAGTCAATGGACCTCCCAAAACATGAAGTGAGAGATGGGATTATTACTCTTCATCGGAATACATTAGGAGACATTTTCATAACGAAATACCAAAAGGTATTTATATGTTTTCCTCTTTCCCCCGCAGTCCGTTTTGTGGGATTTGTCTTTTCATTTTTGGTTGGGCTGTTTTTGTTATTTATTACCCTCCCATTGACAGGTATATACTCCACAAAACCTATCATATTGATGTGCTTCTACATCATCTCAAAAACGTGTTTGTACATCGCACTCTTCTTTCTGGCATCACCGTGGAGACAATGTATTTTAATATGTCGTCCAGTCAGATTTAGTACAACAGCTTTCCATGTGATCGGAATGGTCGGCGTTTGGCTCACTATCTTCTCCGTCTCAGATTCAGTTCTGGTATTAATCCTCTCTTTACTCTTACAAATCGTTATGATCACATTTTATTGTCTTTCTTATTTATCTTTCACTCACAACGTTCTCTTCGATTGTATAAAAAGACCTCACATCCCTTTACTTAAACATTCAAAAAAAGATACAGAAGAAGAATTCAAAACAACTGACCCATCAGACGCAGATCAAATTCACATCGAAATCCCTTTAGAACAGAAAAAGTGATACGGCACTTACTCAATTGTACTATTAATTATACTATATTTTATTGTATATTTTATTATTTAAATTTATACTATATTTTATACTATACAGTCAAAGGCGTCTATTTGTCGTAAATGAGTGAATTTTGTAGAAAATTCTATTTAATAATGAAATTTATTTTTTATAAAAAATTTAGTTTTTGATTCAACAAAAGTTACAAGTTCGAGAACAAAATATTTGATTGTCGTACACCAAATGATTGGCATTTGTATGACAAATAAGCACATGGGTCGGCACAATTCTGGTTTTCAAAATTAACAAGAAAAAAACAAAATTTGTGGCAATTTAGTTGAAAAAAATACCATTATTTTTATGAAATAATAATTTTGTTGATAACTGAGCAAATAATCGGGTTATGAAAAACATTGATAAATAAATAAAAGACTTTCTATTTAAAAAAATGTGTTGTTTAAAGGCTAAACAAAATACAAAATGTTTATTTTTTATTTGTGTTTTATACTTATTTTCGTTTTTTGGTCACGAGTAAATCGCTTAAAAAACAATATGGGTGCAAACACAAATTATAGTAAACATAATCTATACAAAGTTATTCAAACAAATAATAACAATAATTAATAAAATATAATTAAGATACTATAATTGAAAACAACTATAACTTATTATTTATTTTATTAACAGACACAACAAGTTTTTTACTTGAAAATTAAAAATTGAAATAATTTCATTTTCTTTGTTAAATAACAAAACAAGCACTGCCAATATTGATAAGAACATTCATTTGACATGTTAGTTGGCTACTTATATTGACCATAGATAAAAATTTACTGATAAACAGAAAACTTTTCAATTGCAATTATTTGTAATTATTTTAACATTTTCAAGTCAATTAGTCTATGAAATTAACCACAATTTAACTATTAAATTATCAAATTAATAATCAAGACACTTAAAACACATAGTTTTACATTTGCTATAACAATCACAGATACATCAAACAGAGTGCTTGATTTGTTTTATATATATAAGTTACTCGCACTATAAAATTATGTTATTTCAAACACAACAACATCATTAAAAATATATTGAATTTTATAATTTTGTCATTTTTTTATTATTCAAATAACAAATACAATAAAATATTAAGATAACATCTAATGTAATATATAACTGTATTTTTCTTGTGTGACTTACTTAGAACTAAATGCATCACTATATTTTTAAATTATGCAATCCTTTTCACCATAATTTAAAAAATGGTGACGAGACTTTTATTTTTACAATTGAACCATATGTTATTTTTATCAATCAGTTTTTAATGATATGTATCATTATTGTGATAAAAGTGTTTTATACAATTTTTAAAGATTTGACTATCTTACATTATTGCTCATAATTATTGCTTAGTTCACATGTAATGTAATCAACGAAAAATTACTTTTTGTGTCTATAATTTTTATTCACGTCTACATTATTTCATTTTTTATTATTATTAATTATTTTTTATATATGTTTATAAAAAAAAGATGAAAAAACTTACTAAATCATTCAATCAAAAAAACAATAATAGTAACTCCCCGAAGGGCTGCCTTTTTTTTCTTTTGGTTTTAATAATAAAAGTGTGTCAATCGCTGCTCTTGGCGTTTTAATACAGTCACTTTTGTAAACTTAAAAAAGAAAGTGAACGAGAATATAATTTATAAAGCGAAAAATCAAATAACGTTGAAACCATTCAATCAAAATAATGACTTTTTTACCGTTAACTTGTTTTTGACATAACCAAGTCGATCTTACATTTCTTTGTTTTTATTGTACATAATAAAAAGAAAAATAATTAATACAAAACGTAATTGTCTTTTCTTGGTGTCGTCACACTGACAACACCAACACAACGTTCAAATATGTTTAAATTTGGAAAAATTACAGGTTTTTTGTATTTTTTAATTATGACTTTGAATTTAAGTTATTGTCATTAATCAGTTGATTCTTCTTGCATCGCAGTCATTTTATAAATTGAAATGATATAACTTTGCTTCACATCAAATAAAAAAGAAAGAATAAAAACCAACATTTAATTAAATACTCTTAACATCATTTTTCTCGATATGCAATCAATCAATCTTCTTATGTTATAATTACGAATATTTTTTTTTCTTCGTTGCATAACTTTTAATTGATTCACGATAATTATAGAAACATATTATAACTCGATTAGAACAATTTAATAATTAAATTGAAATCCCATAATAGATAATTATTATATTACTTCATTTTATAAGATAAAATGAAGAAAAATTTAATTGAATTCTTCTTATGGTGGGTTTGGTTTAGTCAATTTTCAAAATAATTTAATATTTATAATTTAATCGTATAAAATTTCATATTAAATAATTGTTTAAATACTTGATTAATAAAACAATGGAATAAAATGAATAAATATAATAATGTCTTAAATAAACCAGTAATTTACTAATAAATACTAATAAACAAATTTAAAATAGTGTTAATTAGAATTCTGAATTATTATTGATGTTGTATTGCTATTATTAATTAACAATGTTTTTTATTTTTTCTTGTTGAAATCAATCGTAAATATACAATTAAAAATATTATCATTTTAGTTAATTTGTTAATTAAATTAAATAATGATGTTTTATTTGTTAAATTAATAAAATTGTATTAATAAGTATTATAAATATATTATCGTTAAAAATATAATTTCATAATACTGTACTATAGTTATTTTTAATTTATCTATATTTTAATAACTGTTGTATAATAAATAAAAATCATAAATCATAATATATAAATACTATAATATTAAACTAGTTTTCATAACATCAAAACTACTTGATTTTACTATTGTTTGTATGATATACCAATTTAATAAATAAAATGTTATATAAAAACAATTTCGAATAACATTTATTCTGCTCCTTTGTTCTATAATTGTCACTTGCAAAAGCCAAAAAAAGATTTTAATTATCGGTTTAAAAAATGTGTAAAAAATTTGCCACAAAAAAAATAAAAAAAATTAACACAGAAAAACCGAATTGTGCCGACCCATGAATAAGCAACTTCGACAATTATAATTACGACAAATAGACGCCTTTGACTGTATTTTATTATTTAAATTTATACTATATTTTATACTATATTTTATACTATATTTTATACTATATTTTATACTATATTTAATTATATATTTAATACTATAAAAACTATACAATATTATATTGTTCTCTAATTTATCTTTCAAACGAACATTAAAACAAAAATAAGTTAAAGATATCAATTCAAAGTTTTTAACAACAATAACCCGCGTTTGGAGTTGTTTGATCGAAAGCCTGGATAGTCAAGTTTTCATTTGGTTTAATGTCAAAGCTTTCTGAGTTCTGTAAGACGGTTGCGATCATTTCGTCGACCAGTTCTTTAATTCCTTCGTTATTTTTTGCACTTGTTTCTGTGAATATCATTCCGTTGACTTGTGCGTATTGTTTAGCGATTTCACTCTTGACCTTGTGTTCTAAATCCGTTTTGTTACCGACGCATATGATAGCCTTCACATCTGAATTGTCTTTAATACTAGTCACCCAATAATCCAACTTAGTGAAAGTGTCTTCTTTCGAGACATCATATACGACTATGACACCCGATGCTTTGTGATAATAACTTGTTGGGACGGAATGGAATCGTTCCTCTCCACTGGTATCAAACAAACTAATTGACACTTCTTTGTCTTTAAATGTGTATTTGAATTTGTAAAACTCCGCACCAACTGTCGGAGTTGTCTCGATAAAACTCCCTTTGGACATCACGTTACAAATCGACGTTTTACCTTGCAATTAATAACTGGCAATTAAATTAATATGTTACTATGATTTATTAATTAAATGCTATAATTTGTGTTATTAACAATTTTATTAATACAAACCTACCGATGACTCCCCAACTATTGCTAACTTGATTTCTATAGCTGCTTTACCCGACATGTTTTTTAAAGTTCATTTCTAATTCTTATTTTTATCGTTGATTCATTTGCTTCTAAAAACCTCATTTTGTATTTAACATGTTATTTATATTTAACGTTAGAAATAGTTTAACTATATTATTAATGTTATACTATATTAAAATTATAATAAATTAAATTGATAAATTAAAAAATAAACTTGTAAAATTTTAAACAGTTTTTTGAATGACCAAATAATTCGTCATGGGTTTGAGTTATTTCGGGAAAGTTTTTCATTCGAGTATTTAAATTATAGCGTTTTTATTATAAATTATCAGATTAACTATTAATGATTTTTATTTAGAAAGATTTCATTTTTTCATTCGTCCCACAATAACATTATAATTGAAAAATATGATTGAAACCAAATATTAATAGTAAAAATACCATTAAGAGTTAGTATCTCATTATTATTTAAGATTCAAAATGCTTCTTCTTCGGAGTTCAACGACTTTTAAACACCAAATTTCATAGAAAAAGCTAAAAGAAAAACCGAGGAACTAGAAAATACTCATGGATACCCAGCCAAAACTACCCTTTAAGCAACGCGTCTCTTTTGAGGAACGAAAGGCCTTTGCCATACAGCTCCGTCAAAAGAAGCCAAATTATGTCCCACTTGTCGTCGACAACGATGGCACGTCCAACGCAATCAACTTGAAGAAGGACCGTTTCTTCATCCCAGAAGATTCAAAGGTGTCCGATTTTGTCAAGGTGTTGGTCGACAAATACATCGAGACAGACGGAGAAACTCCAATCTCCACAGTTTCCGTCAAAATCCAGACCCCAAGCAAAGCCGTCCAGCCTTCAAACGAAGACACAATCGGGTCACTTTACGCGATGTACCAAGAGGAAGACGGTTATCTCTACTTCATTGTTTACAGAGAGAGTGTGTTCGGGTGCTAATTTGTGCTTCTTATTCATTCGTTTTCGATTTGTTGAAGGAAATGGAGGTGGGCGAATGTTTTTTCTCAACTCTTTTACTTTTCTATATAAATACTTTCAAATTATTAGTTTAAAACAAATAAACATCAAATTCCATTTTCAATTAATAATTTACTAATAAAATTAAAAAGTTGACTGTGCCAACATTTTAAGCCTTGGCGCAAGTATTTTCATCCGCTTGAGAAGATCTTCGTCATACCCAAACACGTGACAACTTGGGTACTTCAGAATAAGAGAAGAGTCCTTTTCTTTGACAACAATGTAACTCTGAGTCGTGTCGTCTTCAAACCCGTCGTTCTCTTCTGCAACTGGTTGATTCTCTATCTTTTCTTCTTTCGGCGCATCCTCAGTCTTTTCTTTTTGTTCAACAACTTTTTCTTCTCTTTGTTCGGGAATTTCTTTGTTTGAAACGGGCTGTCCATTCTTGTGTTTGATTTCGTCTTTAATTTTTTTGATCTCGTCCTTCCCTTTGAGGAGAAACACGTTCTCAAATTTGTTCTGAACAATGTTCATAACAGCCTCAAACGAAACTGCTTGGATGTCTGGGATCTTTCTTATGTGTTCCTTTTTCTCGCTGATGCCCATCTCAATCAAAAGTAACACAATGTGGTCCACAAACAAATCAGTGATAATATCTTTGTCCCACGTGATACACAACTCGCCATCCATTAACATAATTTTGACATTCTTAATATTCGCCAATTTCAAAGTTTCATCGTACAACAACTCGGGGTAAAATCCTTTGAGTGCATCAAGCGCTTCGTTGTATGGCACCAAACACGGGAAATACAAATTCTGTGTGATTTGATTTGAGTGAAATGTAGAAAAGCGCTCGATGTCTTTTGGCTGCACAATCACTGTTGTCACGTCTTTTGTGTTCTGTAAATAAACTCCGTTGATAATCGGTTCAACCTCCATTTTCTTCGAGACTATTGTACTTTCAGTGGACTTCTTTTCATCTTTTTCCTCGTTTGTTTCTGTTTTGTTGGGTTCATTCTCATCTTGCTTTGTTTCTTCCGCCTTCAACTCCTCTTGCTTTTTCTCTTCTTCCATTTTGATAACTTTTTCTGCAATTTCCCCAAGCAACTGAACTTCATGTTTCACCTGCAAAGGGATTTGTATTGCTTGTGAAACTTCGGGCATATAAATGTTCAAATCAGGGTACGTCTTTTTCAACGAGTTGTAAAGCTGTTCCATACTCTTTCTTTCACCGTGGATTAAAACAAGGTGCTTTGGTTTTACAGCTCCGATGAAGTTGGTTGTATGGACGTGGTCGCTGTGTGCGCAGAACGAAATTTCGACAACACTGCATTTGGGTGTGATAACCTCGCCTGTCGTGCTTGTGAATGGTTTTGAGCTATCGTTGATGATTTGTTTTGCCAACGTTCCTTCGACGCAATACCCTGGAATAATGACACCATTGTTTTTGTCAGTGCACCATCTCTCAAACAAGGTTCTTGAAAACCCATCTTGCAGCATTCCAGGCGATGCCAAGACGACGCATGGATGGTTATCAATCGTGGAGTCGTCAACACTGGAACTCCCATCTCTAATAAATTTAAAATTAAATGCCTGTCGTTTCCTCTTTCTCAACTCTTGGTTCATGAATGACGTGTATTTCTCAAAATATGTCATACACTTCTTCGCAATAGACGAGAAAAAGAATATGGAATACGCCCAAAGCTCTTTATGGCTCTGCCAGTACTCCTCCAAAATCAATTCAAACTCCTGTGCGCGTCCAAGTGAGAAAACGGGTATCAAGCACTTTCCTCCTCTCTTCAAAATTTCGACTATTTGCTTGACAAATCTGTTTTCTCTGTCGACACGAGGCTCTTGGTCCATAATGCCATACGTGCTTTCGCAAATCATAACATCAATTTCAAATGGTGGAACTTCTGCTGAATGCATGTGTCTGTCTGACTCTCCCGAGAAATCGCCGGTGTACAATATTTTGACACCGTTGATTTCCAAACAGAACATTGCGGCCCCGAGGATGTGTCCTGCGTTAAAACACCAGATTTTCATTCCGTTGAACTCTTGCATCTCGTGGAATTTAATAGTGTCGATGCGTTCCAACACTTCTTTTGGAGACACTGGTTTCGGTGGTTGGATCGTTGAAGACATTTGGTGGAATTCTTTGAACAACTCTCCGAAGATCTCTTTTGTTGGAGGGGTCATCAGAATCTTACCCTTATAATTCCTCTCGAGCACTAAATAAGGCAGCGCGGCACAATGGTCGACGTGGAAATGTGTCACACACAGCAACTCGATTGAGTCGACGTCTCCGTACTCAAACAGCGGAAGCGCGTCTTCCCCGTGTTTCTTCGCCGGGTGGACTCCGCAATCCAACATGATGTTGTGGCCCATATATTTCAAGACAAAGCAAGACCTTCCGACCTCGCGGCCTGCTCCAAGGGGTTTAATCTCCAACACGCTTCCATTGATCTCGATACTTTGTTCGTGACCTGTCATTACGATTTCCTTGGACATTACTTCTTCTGTTTTTACAGTTACTTATTTTCTTTCATTCCGACTTTTTCAAAATCACAACCTCTCATTTTTTTATTTTTTTTATTTTGTTTTCTTTTCAAAAATGCATTTCTTTCAAAAAAAAATAAAATAACACCGAATTTTAAATTAAAACCAAATCGATTGGAATTTAATAGCACTTTTGGGAAGGTAGTTACTATTAAATTAACTTTATAACAAATTGTTAAGAAAAATGACCAGAACACATGGTTGATATACTTCAACTCCATAAATAACAATCTAATACCATTTTTTAAAAATTATTCAATAAAAAAATAAAAACATTTTAAATAACAAAAAAGGAATAATTGATCAATACTTGTTACATGGACAATCGTCGTCCTCATCCAATAAGTCCTCGTCGTCGTCCATCTCCTCATCAAACGCTTCCATATCATCTTCCCCGTCTTCTTCAAGTTCAAAGTCGTCGGCGTCATCTTCGTCATCCTCATATTCATCGTCTTCATCAAAGTCCTCTTCTTCATCGTAGTCTGCGTAGTCCTCGTCAAAATTTTCGTCCAACTCTAAAAATTCATCATCAGCATATTCGTCGTCGTAGTCGACAGCTTGTAATCCTACAAAGAAAAGAACAAAAACTAATAAAATCATTTTCATGACTCGAATAATATATTTTTTTAAGTTCCTTTTTTAGTCTTGTGTGTTGATTTATGTTGAAAGGTAGTCGAAACATTTTTTATCATTTATAATTATACTATTATATTATATAGATAATTTTTATTGTATAAAATTAAATTGTTTTATTCTTTCAGTGAATGTTGTGTCAT